CAGCACCAGCACTTTGCTCTCTGTCAGCCCTGCAGCACTTTAATTCCCATAATCTACTCTCATTTGTTTCCCACCTCTTTTCCTGGCCTCCATTAATGATCTGGGTTTTTGTGTTATGTCTTTAAAATGCTGACTAATAATACATACATGTTTACTTTTTCCACTGGTAGCACCTTTGTGAAATATCAGTGATCACTAGATGTCACTGTAATTTTACTCTGTCTCCAGCCCTACTGAACCAACGTGATCCCTGGGCTCTAGTGAGCTTGCTTTCAAATCCTTTTGAAGAATTTATTCATGATCAGAAAACTACCCAGCTGCCATCCAGACAGAGGGTCTCCTGGGGTGGGAGGGAAGGACAGGTTGAACACACAGGTTTCTGCTCAACACATGAAAGTCTTGTTAATTTTATGCTGAATTATTGAATCCCTCAGGTGTGTGCCTGCAGCAAATTGTGTGTGCAGCCCCACAGTGCCCTGGCTGTGTGGGGTTCATCAGGGCTGGAACATCCATAATGTTCCTCTGCAGGTTTCCCTGCAGCTTTAATGGCCAAAAGCCCTTAAAATCCTTAAAATTTTGTTGTTGTTCCTTAATAATCACCCCCCTTTTCTCCCAAACACACAGCCTGGATTCCTTCACTATCATCTAAGCACTCCCGTCTCCTTCCTTTTCATCCAGTCATCCCATTCTTCCTGTAAATTCAGTTAATCCCACAGGTTTTAGAACTCAGAAAACTCCACAGAAGTATCTTGCCTCTTTCCCTTGCCTCAAAAGATTTTACAGAATATATTTCTTCAAGGCCAACTCAAATCAACACTCCCTATTTCCTGAATGCTTGATTTCTCCATTGTACTCAGCCTTTGGGATATGGCAATTTAAATATTATAGACCACACTCCTGCACAGGCACACATGGGATTTATTCTTTTTTTTTTTCTTTTTTTTTTTTTAATTGGAAAAATTCACCGCTGAAATTAGCAGAAACGCCTGCTTAAAAATCATTTGTCTCCATCTGATGACATTATCCAGATCAGCAGAATAAGATTTCACTCTGCACTCGGGTCCCACTGGGGAATATGCCAAAATCGGGTCGTTCAGTAAAACTCAGTTATCGGGTGTGCAGGGCTGGCAGCTGAGCCCGAGGAACCAAAGCTCTTTGCTGGCACCTTTTGGTGAGCCGGGAGAAAGGACCAAGGGCCACGGCTGTCTCCACCCCAGAGGGATGGGTGGCAGAGCCTGGCCACGTCCGAGGGAGATTTGGAGCCAGGAAAATGCCTTTGCTGTGAAGCACCAAGGGATGCTGCGGTGATGTGAGCTCAGTGGAAGCCGATGGAAATGCCTGTAACAACATATTTCCCTCTGAACTCCCCCACTTTGGCTTTGTGGCCATCTGTTCTGGTGACAACAGGTTTTCTAAAGGCTTGTGGGTACTGCCACTCCTACAAGCTGTAGCAAGAGTCGGGCTCTCTGTGCAGGGGGTAATGCCACAAATGAAGGCACCTTCTGGCTTGCTGCTTTAATCCAAATTATACAGCCTGTCCACCTCAATCCCAACATTGGCTGCTCTAATGCATTGCATTCTGGTATCAAAGCCATCTCGCTTTGATAAGCTTTTCTGTTCAGGATTCATCAAAAAGAACATAAATGAACAGTAATGCTTATGGACAAGCATTTTGTTTTTCTGTGGAGCCACCAGAGGAGATCTGTTGGTTCCCATGAGGCCAAACACCACCTCTTGTCTTCCGTGTCAGCCACAGCCTAAAAAGTCCTAAATTTTTGCTGAATTCTGTTAATTAATTGAAGCCACGCAGAAACTCTCTTCAGAAACTCTCCTCCCCTTCTCACCCAGCAGCACACACCACATTTTGTCTGAGGAGTAACAGCAACAGACAAATTAGAAGGTGAAGAGACTATTAAAAGTTTTGCCACTGCACTTAGACAAATGTTAGGATTATGCTCAACATAAACATTACTTGGAATCTTGTTAAAACATTCCAGCACATCTGTGTTAGATTACTGCCCAGCAGACAGAAGTCCTTGTCAATTGGAGACTCATTATTCCTGGGATAAAGCTAATGCAGAGTGCTTTGCCTGGGGCAGGAGGAGTGGATTTGGGGTGCAAATGGCTTTGCATGCACCCGCTTGTCTGGCTCAGGGCCCTGAGGAACGAGCTCTGTGATGGACAGGTGGATTCTTGCCAGCTCTCTCATTGCTTTCCTCTGCCAGGAACAGCACTGAAAGGTCTTCCCTGAAGAATGACTGGTAGACAAGGCAAGGAGAGACAGAGAAACCAAAGGACTAAAGTGATTAACTGATGAAAACACCTTCCTGGATCTGTTGTCCTAGATATAGCAGGCTCCTCTCAAGGAATTGCATTAATTTTCTTATTTGTTTTGAAGGGCTATAAATTACCTTGGAGCCTGATTGTGCATATCTAAAATGGTGCTGAAAGAGTTTCAACTACAGGTGTGACAACTTTAAGCCCCATTTAAACATGGGCAACTCTCTACACAAAGGATGCCTCTCCAGGCCATGGACTTATTTCAGCATAATTCAGCTCAATCAGGAACCCTTTAAACGAAACCCAACATGAAAGTGCTGTCAATCCAAAGTGAGGGGTTGCATATTAAGAGTTAGCTCACATTTCATTTCAACAGTTGGAAAACAGATTAGTATTACATGGAAAACAGTTCAAAACAAGACTAAAGTTATGTGGAACACCCTTACATAAACATTACTGTAAATCATATTTTTGAACAGATTTAATCTTTGTTTACCCAGAAATACCCCAGAAGACTAACTTGAACAATACAGGGCTGTGAATTCATAGCACAGATTAGTGAAAGCAGATGGTGAGCCTGTGTGGATGCACTCCATCAGAGAAAATGTGGCCATAATTGGATTTATTTTAATTCACTCATATTTTGACTACAGGAGAAATGCGGGTAGAGCTCCTCACGCAGACAAGCCCTGAGGTTAAGGCTTCCAGGGAGCCTTGCTCTCAACTCCATTTTGAAAACTGGACTTAAATGCAAAAATAACATTAGGTGTTCATAAATGAGAGTGAATCCCCAGTCTTAAACCCTTTATTCATGGTCAGATCTTGCCTCCTTAATTCACTCTGACTGGCACTTTATGCAAGTGGCCTTGAATGAAATAATATTCCCCATAAACAGATCTCACTTAGCAAAGTGTTTTGCACAGGCGAGGCTGACACAGGCTGTGGGAGTCCCTATCACTCACCTCCAGCAGCTTCAATTTTCACTTGCTTTTCAGCAGGGGAAGGAGACAAGTTCCCATCAGTGGGTGCCACTCCTGCCATGCAGTGCAGAGCCAGGGGAAGGAGGGCAAGAGTCTTCTCCAGCCACATCTGCTGCTGCTGCTCTGGATGTGCTCCATTCCCACCTCTGCAGCCTGAGCCCTTCAGGGGTTTGCTTTCCACCTCTTTATTTGTAGGCTCCTTGTATTCCCACATAGTCTATCTGCTGTCTGGATAGTACCTGATGGCCCCTGTTCACCTGGGTTCCTGTTAAAAGAAGACTACTTGCTTTTTACCCCCAGAAAGGTGCTGGTGGTCTGAGCCCTGACTATGCAGAGGATGTGCACCATTGCTGGGAGCACCCCAGCCAGAAAGGGGAAGGGGTTCACTTCTCTCTGTACTGAGCTGTAATGGGTGTAAATATATCCAGTAATTACAGGCATATTGCTGTGCAAACACATAATAATTGCAGCTCTCCTTTCCTCATGAACTGTACATAATGGGCCTCCCCCATCAGGAACTGGACCACACGTTGTGCTGACTGTCAGGCCGTCCTGAATCCGGCCAAGAGCACCATCACGAGCCTCAGTTTCCCTTAGAATTTCCCAAATGTTCTCACTTTCAAAGTGCCCCAGCAAACCACAGGTGCAGGACACGTGTGAGCTGCTGCCCAGCTGCCAGTGCCCCTCAGCCAGGCCAGCTGGATGCCCACGGGAGCACAGGGAGATGTGGGACTGCAGAGGCAGATGGTGCGTGGGGAGGAACGACCCCCCTGGACATGCACCTCTGGTATCTCTTTATTCCTCCACATTTCATTAACACAGGTTGTCTGTGTGTGTGTTTATTGTGTGTTTTATTCTGAGAAATCCTGGCTGGGGGTTCATGCTGAAGCATGGAGAGCACACCAGCAGAAACACAACGCTGCCACACGTGCCAGCCTTGTCCCTGGATCTGAAATTACTGCTGATCTGTTCAAGCAGAACCCAAATACGATTTCACTCACTCATCACTACAAAAATCGAAGTATGTTTCCCCAATTCAAGGCACAGAGCAACGGGAAAAGACCAAGGTGGCATCTGTGCTCAGCCTGAGCGGGGGTGCTGCCCTGAGCCTGCCCTGGGGGGAACAGCTGCCACGAGCCCTCCCAGCACACAGGTGTTGCCTCCTTCCTGCATTTGTTTGTTCAAACCTTTGCTCATCCATACTTAACTGCATACTGCTGATGCACACTGGCAGGAGCCTGTTCGTGCAGGCTGCCCAAACTACATCTCTAAACTCAAATCACATCAGTGTTCCTTGTCTAAGTACCAGCTTTACTTGGCATGAAATCAGCCTGTGCTCCAGCACCCGCCCCAGATCTTCCAGCTTCACAGAGTATTTCTTTTTGGATTTGGTAATTAACACATAATGCCATACTATGTTGCTTGCAATTGGCTTTTCAAAATATTTCTGTAACTGGCCTAAATTTCTCTCACTATACATCTGTAAACTAATCTTCCTGTGATGGGTTTCAGCACGCTGTGGGTTCATCACCCACTCAGAGCCAGGCAGTGGGATGTGGGAGGCTGTTCTAAAGGAAAACAGGGTTTGGGGTACAAGAGGCCACTTGGGTGACATCACCTGTTTTTGGTGTCTCCAGATCACCACAGGAACATGAGACAGGACTGCTTGGGCAGCTGCACCATTCAAAGAAATTCCAGCAACATTGTCCTTGAACAATGTCCTTTAGAGACCTTGAGGTCTCTAAATTCAGGTTGTGGAAGTCTGTTGGTCTTGAAAGGCGTGATATTTCCATCTCTGTTTTGTGCACAGCAGGCTTAAATGTGCAGAGGGAAGGCGTTCTCACCTCTCATGCCACGGTGGATTCCCAGCAGCCACTAGATGTCACCAGGATTTTACTTGCTTGCTAGCCTATGCCCAGCCGGGGATCATAAGAAAATAAGAGGAAAATAAGTAATCACTAATAATAAAATCCACCTATTACAATGAACACAGAGCTCAGAGAAGGGGGAAGTGGCCCAGCTCCTGCTTCTGTGTGTCCCATCTCTAAGGGGATTTACACAGAGCACCTGCACCCATGGACAGGACTTTGTCTCTTGATGGCAGGATGGTTTGGTATTAAAACTCAAGTTTCTCCAGCTAGGCATCAGGCTAAAACTTACTTTTATTAATTTTATTAATATTTATGAGTCCCCTGTTTAATTATCCAAGCTTGCTATCTGTAAAGTTGCCCCCCCCCACACACACACACTTGGTAATCCTGCCTGGAGAGGTGCAGCTAATGGAGAACAGCATCAACTGGGAAAGTAAAGTGGACAAGGGAATATTTGGGGATGAGGTGGACCAAATGGTTTCAAGTAGCAACAAATCAGCAAAGACACTTTTGGGGATTCCTCTGTCCCTAAAATGTGCAAAACCATAGGAAAACAAAGGGCTGTTTCAAAAAAACGATCAGTGCAGCTGACACATTTGTTTCCATTAACCTTCGCTGTTAATTATTAACCTGTAACCACACCGTTCATAATCTGGGAGATAAAGATTAGATACTGTGTTCCTAACCCAAGGAGGATCCACGTTATCTCTCACCTCACAGCACAAAATCCCATAAAGGTAGCCCCAGGCAGAGGTGGGATTTTGGCAGCCCACCACCGGCTGGGTGAGCACTGGAGCCTCCTCCCAATGTCCCAATTTCCACACCTGTGCCAGTATATAATGCCAAACACTAGCACGAGCCCTAATGCCTGCCAGTTCCTCTTTGGCTGTTAAATTCTCCATCCAGCTCATCCTTGCCCTGTTGTTCTGCTTCTTTGGGTCCAAGATGTTCGTGCAAGTCCAATCCCCCCTCACTGACCCCAAAACAACAAAAAAGTTCTTCAGAAGGAACTGAGATATCGACCTCAGTTCACACAGGAATTCAGCAGCCCCTGTGAGACTGCCTGGCTTTGGATAAGCCCTGAAAGGCATAAATTACTGTAAATAGGGGTTTCCCTGAATACATTCCCTTCAAGATTTCCATAGCAAGATGAAAGTATCCATACCCCTCATCAGCCTCAGATACATCCCATTTCTCTGCTCAGATCTGAAGGTTTATACCCCACATCAATAATTACTGGAGGTACACACATCTGCTCAAAGGATCATTCTAACCCTCCTGCAGCACATATTATTTCAATCTGAAGTCTGCTGTCTTCCAAGAAAAGTCAAACAAAACAGATTTTACAGCTCTGTCTGAAGACAGCTTTTTAAATTAAGGCCAGGGTTATTTTAATTTTTGCCTCATGACACATAATATATTTAATACAAAAGAAAATATGCCTGGCTTGGACCTTCAGCCAAAGATGACAAGCCCAAAATTATCTCAACTTAGAAGTATTACTACCCAGGTTATTAGTCTGAGGTTTGGTTTATGATCACTTCTTCCAGCAGTGCTGCTACACTTGGAGTTAATTGCAGTTTGTGTATTTTCTGTAGACAAGAAGGTGGAACAGAATATGCATTTAATGGTGACTTCTTGCACAAATACAAAAAGAGAAAAGTTGCTTATTTTAATTCTTTCATGCAGGAATATCTGTAATTTTGTCTCTTTGTACCCTGCTACTGATTATGGAATTGATGTAGGTTATCTTTCATTTCACAGCTCTCCTTAGGAAAGAAGGATAGTATTCCTCTTTTAGAATTAAGAAGTTCATTTAAATTTCAAATTACCTTTTCTGACAAAACCTCTTCAGTTTGTTATGATCCTAAAACATGTGTAATACCAGTGGGACTGGCCACAGCTCACTTCCATAAGGAAGACAAAAACAAGTGCATCTCTTATCTTTCATGCCTATTTCCTATAATCCTCTTTTCTTGCTTCCCACACCACCCTGCTCAGCACAGACAGGTGGGGAAGGTGAACCCATACCCCTGAGCTCTGATTCACAGCCAACACTTTAAAAAGTACAACTGCAAATGGTACAGATGGGCAATTCCTTCTCTAGTGAATCAGCAAGCCAAAAACTTGGTGTCTCAGTGCCAGGAGGGCCCAAATTTTCCATGACAGCCCCAGTCCCTTTAACAAATTGCCCTTCCCTAAAGGAAGTGCCAGAGTGAGTGATGGGTGCTGGGGAGGTGGTTGGTATAGAGGACCTGCTGCTTCCACGAGTGACCCTATGGAGCAATGCACCTTGCCATTTCTCAGCCTTGTTAGTTTAATACCACTTATTTCCCTTGTCCATTTGCATTAGGCCCAAGACTTGGGATGCCCTGATGTATTTTGTGGTACTTTCTTGCTGTTGTGTTTGATGGTCCTATTTGTGATTCAGCAAATAGTACCTAAGTAATCAATATTCTGTCTGGGTGGACATTTTATTTATCTACAGAGCCACCCTATGAATTCAGTTGGTTTACTGGGAGGTCAAACACTTTTCATCTTCTCCACGAGCCAAAGAAAATTGGAAGATTTAAATCCCCTTCGAATTCCTTTGATTAACTCAGGGAAAATACCACACTCTTTTTTTTAAATTTATTTTCAAACTCAGAAGCAGAATTATCCTCACTATAAATCTACTTCATTTTGACACATTGATCTCTGCATAAATGGGTAACATCATCAAGTGTTGAGGCATAAACCAGAAGATGACAGAGCTGAGGAAGAGCTGTGAATGATGCTGTTAGAAATTATCAGCCATACATACACACACACTTCCTTTGGGTTGGTTTAAAAAGAAACAACAAACCAGAAAATGAATAAGAGCTCTATAATTAGCTGGGGGGGAACAAAGCCTGGATTTCCTTTGGGAATCACATCCCTGTGGCACAAAGCACCCACACTGTGTCGGTAAATGGTACAGCAGTGTTCCATACTTACATCAGTCTCATCCTCCCCAGCTGGACCAAATCCAGACCATCCAAGGGCATGCAGTGCCACTGCTTCCATCACACTGTCTGAAAAGCAAGAGAAATCTGTTAGGTTTCAGAAATGGGGAGGAGAAGAGAAGCTGAAGATCAGATTTCAGCTGCTTCACACCTGCCTCGTGCAGCTCCACAGTGCCCCAGCTTGCAGGGCCGACAGGGACAGGGAAAAGCAATGACTAAACCAACTGAACAATGAAAATACCATCCTGGATCTCTCTTCTATGCTTTTATTGCTGGCTTCTCTGATTATTTAATAATTTGCAAGGGTTTAGAGCTAAATTTTTAAGATTGCTTAAATGATCCAAACCTTTGCACATGAAAATTGTATCATTTTAAGTAAAAGCATGACTTAAACCTCATTCAGTTAATCAGGGAAATTCCTATACAGATGCACTTATATCAGTTTTCGTGACTTATTCCTAGTTATTGCATTTGACCTGGAACTGGTTTAAGATTAATTAAAATAAGCCACTCTCTCAATACACAGCAACTTGCATTCATTTAGCTAAATTAATGTGAAAAGTGGAGTCAGGTTAAACAAGGGCAAATTCTTCACTTTGGCAGGACTTAATGGCACTTCTCAGCGTGATTTAGACACTCCTGCCCAGGACCACAGAAACTTCAAATACACTTATTTTAATCAGCCTATCCTTTATGCAAGTGAGCACTGACTTCTTCCAGTACAATTCAGGGCCTGAGCACCAGGACAAAACATCCATAAGTTTTCCCCAGATATAGTTTCCAGGGATTAAGAGCTGAGATCACGAGAGTTGCAGGGATGCAGGATGTGGGATGGCAAGAGCAGATGGGCTCCCAGCCCCTGCACTGGGGCAGACTCAAATAGAACACACAGGCACTGTGTAGGAGAAGAATTAAAGAAATTCTGCTCATTGCAACACCAAATCCCAAGTTTTGGCAGGAGGAGGCAGTGACCTGCCATGCCAGCTCCCTCCTGCTCCCCATCATTCACCTCCAGTCATCTCAGCCAAAAAGTTTGCTGTCCTTCCTCAGCTGTCTCCCTCGTGGACTAAACAAACCCTGTTTTAGCCACAGTTTCTGATAAGGGATTTATTTCAGAAAGTTCAAAAAGACTCAACACATCTTTGCCTCTAAATCACTGCAGTGATTGAACCTTTTCTTGCTGCTCTTTGTAAAACAATGTTTCTGTTTCAATACATCCACTTCAGAGTAAATTTTTTTAGCCTGTATTTCCTCTGCTGGTTTAAAGGAATGTCACAAAAGTCCTGTGAGGATCAAGACAGATCAACGCATACTACAGCTCCATCTTAGAAATAAATTAGATTGGCTTGAAATATTTTGCTTTCAGAAATCTCTTTAGCAATGTATTTTCCTGTAGACATTTATATTTTTTTCAATAAGGCTTTCCAGTAACATCCCAATGAAAAGAGGAATACGTGGGAATAAAAGCCGTGCTGGTGAACCGCTGGAGCTGAAGAGTAAGGAAACCTGGTGGACATCACTCTGTGGTTCCCTAGGTGGTTTCAGTGGAATTCTTCAATTCTTGCTTCATTCAAACACGAGGAATGGTTTTATGCAACTTGGGTGTATTTTTCTGGAGCACTGGCACGTGTTTAACCCTTGGCTGCCACAAGACAGTGGGTGTTTGCACGTTCCCAAAGCCCTCTCCTAAAGCTCTGCACCTTTGGGCTCATTCCTACTCTCTGCTCATTCAAACTGTCTCACACTTCACTGCCATCACTTTTGGCTGTGGTTTACAGGAGTTTCATGTTTGCAGCATCTGCTGGGGTGTTTGTTTTGCTCCTGCACTGCTGGCCGGGTGAACACCCGCGGTGGACAGCCAACCCTTTCCTCACAGCCACAACAAATTATGCCTGAGAAAACAACATTGTTGAATCCTCATCGCATTTCCCCTCAGTGGGAAAGCAAAATCAGCTCTTGGCTTTCATGTCTCCACTGGAACACTGCGTGCCCCTGCAAACATCTCTGGTCTGTGCAGCGGTGATGGAGAGGGATCTCACTGGAGCACAGAAGTTGCAGATATGGAATGCATTTATCAACATCCCAGCAGTAACAGGAGGTTGCTGCAAGGTCAAGCTAGAAGTGTCCAAAATAGGGGTAAGAGGCTGGCAGCCAGCAGCGAGGGAGGTCGTGGCTGTGCAGGATGCAGCCCCGGGCTCTCCAGGAATGGCATCACTTCACCGAGCTTTTTTACGTCCTTAGAAAACTTGAGCGAGTGAATTTCTATTTCCAACCAACTGCCAGGTAATAACAATTTGTTTGCTACCAACCATCTGACACAGAGGTGCTTGGCAGCGCCACGCAAGAATACCAGGGCTTTTCCTTCTGTCAGAGCCCAAGCTAAAATGAGACAATCTGCCTCAATCCAATTTGGCCACAAAAATGCTTGTCAGGCATTCACAGCAGCCCTGTCCTGAGAGCAGTTTGGCTCTGAAGACCTTCAGCAGTGTTTCTGGCCACCTGATTTTCTGCAGCTGGGAACAAGATGATGGTGATGGTGAAGGAGGGGAAAAAAGCAAGAGAGGATTGAAGCAACTCGTGAGTGGCGTTAAGTCTCATCTGAGCGAGCAGAACAAGGTGACCTCCATCTCAGTAGCCTGAATGATGTTCTGACAGAGTTTGGGGGTCGAATTTTTTTTTTTTTTAAGGGATGATCCTTCACCATGTTGAAATACTCTTTCACTGAACCTTTAGAAACATTTCCTGGTGACCCGACTCACGGCTCTGTGACTCATCAGACATTCAATCAATCATTGACGTTTGTTTTTTGTAAAATAGCTATTGATGTTGTATGTTATTAGTTTCTTGGCACCTTATACTAGGCTTTCATCAAAGCAAAACGCTGATGCAATTAGCAAAGGATATCAATTTATGCAGCAATTCACATTATCCCTCAAAGCTTCATTAGCCTCAGAAGCTCAGGCACTGGAGGGAAAATTTGGGGAAGTGCTCTGTTACCTTCTGCAGCTCAGCCCATCTGTGCTGCTGCAGCACTCCTGCACTGGGCTGCCCTTCGAGGCTGGGAAAGGGAGATTTGGCAGCTCCTGGCTCCACAGCACAGGGACAACAACTGTCTCCACCACCCCAGCTCAGCCTGAAGACCTGCTTGCTTCATTTTGCACAAAACCATCGTGTGGGATTGAGCATGTTTCCACAGGCAGAGTCAGAGCAGCTGGAGCCATTATTTGCAAGGAAAAAAATTACACTAAACCTCAAGTTTCTTGTCCCAGGGACAGCCTGGATCTCCTGCTGGTGGGTGATGCTCTGCTGCCGTGCCAGGATGCCCTGACCAACTCCTGCTTCTCTTCTTGTTTCCCACAAAGACTCCTGAGGTCAACAAGGCATAAGTGCCCCATTATTTCACAGAAAAGCCACTGACTTCAGCAGAAAGCAGCTGGTGGTGGGATGGAAACCTCACTTAGTGGCCCTTTTGCTGGGAAGGTAATTTGGTCTTTAAAACTCTGAACACAACCACCTCTTCATACCTGTTTCATTGCATTTACCAGCAAATGTTTGGTCTCTGGGTTTTTGGTGTAGGGGTTTTTTTTCCCCTTTCAGCTGAATAACTTTTATTATGTTGATCCACGTTGTTGTCTGTCTCTCTGCAATTCTGAATACAAGCCTTGCCCTTGACTGCACAGCACAAAGAAAGCCTTCAGGTCACAGCTTTCAAAACACTTGATATTGTTTTTTCTTTCTGGAAAGAATAAATAATGTTAACCTCCCTTTTAGTGTAGAGGAAAGAGCGAGAAGGAAAAAGCCATCAGAGGCATGTCAAACAGACCAGGGTTGGGCTGGAAGGATTCTAAGCTCATTGACTCGTTTGCACAGCTTGACACAAAGATTAACTCATCTCCCAATTAGCTGAATAATTGAAGTGCATCATCAGATTTCCAGTTACATCGAGGAGACAGATTTGCTGGGGAAACCATGGCCAGGCAAAACGATGTTTTCCTCCTCCCTGCACATCCCAGCTGGAGCTGGCTTGTACAAAACACAGGTACCGTGCCACAGTGCTGTACCTGCAGGTGAAGGCTCAGGGGGCACCACACAGGCTTGGGCTGATCCCAGACAAGCAAAAAGTAAATGTTCCTACATGCAGATATCTGATATATCCTACTGTAAAACTGGAGCCCCACAGTAAACCTGCTCTGATGCAAATCCTGCCTCTTGGTACTCTTAATTATTCTCCTTCACGTCCTTTCGTCTCGTTTTCAACCTTTTGTGAGACAAAATAGTTTTTAAAAAATTAAAATGCAATTGATTGTGCTATTTTACTTGTCTACAGAGGCATACATTATCGTCTTTTTAAATTTTTCAGCAGCTTGGAAAACAGCAGGAATTAGCAGAGGATTTTCTAAGTGAACCAGTCCATTTAAATTGACTGCATTATCCAGCTTCCTTCTGGCTCCGTGCTGGAAAATGCAGGTGAGTCTGACTGCTAAAACAACAGCATTGTTGCTGTGCTGGAGGTGAGAACAGCCCGGTGGTAGAGACATTAGCACTGGACTTTGGAGACAGACATCCAGTTCCAGCTCCCCTGACAGGGGTATTGTGTGAGCTCGGGTACCTCTTGAACAGACAAACTTTTAGCAGCAGCCACTTCCCTGATGGTGCAGATCAGCACCCACGGGACTCGTAGGCAGGAGCTCATGGAGGGCATTTGCCAGGCTGAAGTGCTGAATTGCAGGCTCTCACTTTAGCATGTATCAAAAGTTTGGCATGCACAGACCTTTAAATTAATTGGATCTTAAATTTAATCAGAGGACCGCTTCAGAAGATCAGGCACAAAGAGCCCGTGTGTGCCCCAGTGCCAATGTGTGTGCCATGGTCAGGTCACCCCTTCAGCTGCCCAGGAGGTCCCAGAAAGAAAACAAACCCCACTCTCAGCACCTTGTGAGGGAAATGCCAGAGCTGAGATTCACTTTTCTGAATCTCCCACCCAGGATAGGAGACACAGCTTGGCTCTGCCATGACCTCTAGGAGCCTTCCTATTTCTGGTTTTTCTAAGGAAGTGTTTCAGGAGTGTCTGTTGACACCCAAAATTTACACTCCTGATCCAGCTCAGGGTCTCTGCACGAGATAAAGCAAAGATTACCTTGCTCTGAAGTCCAAGACACTTCCTCAAAACAGTGGCTGGGCAGGTTGCAGGACACTCTGTCTGAGAGGATTATCCTGGTGCTCTCTTCGTCTCTCCCTTTCCTTCACACGGTGCCCCTCTGATCCGTGGCAGGGTCATGTACTTCTGCAGCAGGAGGGGACACCAGGCACTGCAAAGCTGCAATCATGCCATAAATTCCACCCCTTCTGCCTTTTCAGCTGTATTTCCATGACAGATGGCAGATTGTGACACAACTGTAGCATCTTCTCTTTAACTGCAGCACTACTCGCCCTTCTGGCTGCATCTTACAAGCCCTTGGTGGCAGCTGCTGTGAAACCATAGAATATTAAGATTGTCATTCATATTTCTCTAAATCTCTGCAGAATTGATAAAATTTTATTTCTGGGTAAGATCTGAAAGTATATAAGTCAGTCATTTAATTAAGAAGCACAGCCAGGCAGTCAAACAGATAAAGAAGTAACAAAGGAAGTTTCAAGGTGAAAAATTGAGTCTGCCTAGATGGGCCCAGGAGAGGGGTGTAAGGGCTCTGGAGGGAGAGCTGCTCTTCAATTAATGCTGTCTGATGGGAACCTCTACCCAGATGCAGCCTGAGTGGTATCATGGGCTCACAGAAAGAAATCAAGAGCCTGCTGTCAGGAAAAGATTAGGTGAGAGGGAGGAGAGAGCTCTCTCCAGTTTACCTTTAGTGTCAGGAAGCTGAGACAGTTTTTCCTCATTTCTCCACATTTGGTTTTGGTGAATTCCTACCTATGTTACCTGTCCAGACATTATGAACAAAGACTTCAGTCCTGGCGAGGGGTTGACGAGCTTCAAACATTTCACGTCCCCCAGGTGAACATAGATGGGCACAAGAAAAGAGACTTCTGATGTCGGGGCTTTGCTTCCTGCCTTAAAATGCTTTTTGCTGAGAATAAACAAGCGGGGAGCCCTGGCAGGGCTCTGGACAGCCAGCTGCATCCTCCTCAAACTGCAGTGCTTCCAATGCCTGGGAAGATTTCAAAACTTCTTCTCAATTATGCATGAAATATGATTTTGTTTGTAAATTCAAGCCCTGGTCGGTTTGTGTCCTTTTTTTTCCCTCCTTTGATTTTTGTTGTTTACAATGACCTAGATTTTAATGAGAACGTCCTGTGAATCCCACCCTACATATTCCTGGCAGTAAGATTTTCCTCAGAATGAGAATATCAGTTGCCTCAGTTCGGTGTACTGAGTTAAAGGAGGGGACACTGTGTCTGCAAGGAGGTTGAATGGTTGGCACTTCTCTCCTTAGCCCAGGAAGAAAATCTGCAGTTAGTTTCTGTTCAAAGTAAATTAAGTCTCTAAGTTGGAACAGCACGTACTGTGCTCCTCAACGCAATCCACCTCCTTAGTACATTCAGATTAGCTCCCACTGTTTTTATCCCCAGATTTATGTTGATGAAGTGCACAAACATAATTTTTTTTTATAAGAAAAAGTAGCCCAGACTTGCTCTTTACAAACAGGTTCCTATAGACTCAAGCAGACAGTGAAAATTACAGGTTGCAGGTGTAACACCATAACATCATAACATCATTGGCCAGACCCAAAAATGCATGTGAGGGCAACAATGTTGCTATAAAAGCAAGACAAATATTTCTACAAAATTACCTCTAAGCTGCCAAGTCCAGAGAGTCCTTCCTCTGCTTTCTAGAGCTGTAAGATTATTGCACTAGTAAGAACCAGTCTGCTCTGGGGCTGGGTGCAGTTCAGTATTACCAGGTTAAGCCTTTGGTGTTGCCCCTGCCTGTCTGGGTTGTGCTCACCGGGCCGAGGCATCTCCTGACACCTTGGGAAGGCATCACCAGGTTTGATGGGAGATGTCCTGCAGCTGACTCTGAATTTCCTGAGCCTGGTGCTGGGGATGCCTCATTAGCTCACACCTCCCAGCACATCAGGACACGGTGCCTTGCTTCTTACTGTTTGCAGCTCAGAGAATCCATTTCACCTGTCCCTCTTGGCAGCACACATCAGAACGCGTGACATCCTCAAAACAGCAGCCTCCCCAAATGCAGCTCAGCCATGGAAATCCCTGCTTTTCTTCAGATTTTCCAGGTGTTACCTCCATTCCACTCCAGCCTGATTTTCCTCTTCATCTACCACAGAAAAACAGCTGAACTGTCTGCTTTTCTTCCTGTTAAATCTTATGACAATTACATTATTGGAGTTAAAGAGACCATAGCTCGATTGCAGAGGAGATGTTTTCGCTGGGTAAAACTGGCGTGAATTTTCCATGGATTCTCAGGATTATTACTTTTTCATTATTTTGCCTCTTTCCTCACAGCCCAAAGCATCTCTCTGTGGGAGAGGATTTGTTGCTAAAATTCAGGTGTAAATATGCTGTAAATATTTAGCAAAGTGCAGTAAATTGTCTCGTTGATACGCTGGCAGAGAGACGCAGACTCTGATTGCTGCCTGTACAGTTTTCCGAGTGGTTGCAGCCGAGCAGGCAGTGGCATGTTCTGCTCTCTGGATTTTGGGGGAAGGGGGATTTCACCAATGAATCCTGCCCCCAGGCCCCTGTGAGCACTGGCACAGAGGTGTCAGCAACATTCCTCCACACAGTGCACACGAGAGAGGGGTTGTGCCCCAGCAATCCCTACTTTCCACTTTTATTGCTGGTCCCAAGTCACACTGCAGTGCTGAATGAACCAGATCAGGGAGAAAGGAGCTTCAGATGGTTTAGGGTGGAAGTTGGTAGGAAGCTGCTCACTGGAAAAATCAGTGACCAGCCCTGCTGCCTGAAGGGAACTGGGTTGTCAAAGTCACCCTGGACAAAGGCAGAGAGCAACCAGCTCGATGGCATGGAGGTGTCACAGGAGAAGCATCTGCTGTCACCACTGCTTCCCAAAAGATACCAGCAGTATTTGGCACAGAGAATCTCTGTGATGCTGAAACAGCTTGTGTGACAACCCGTGGGGAATCCCAGTTCATTAGTGTAAAAATGAAGACGTTTAAATGCTTCATTATTGAAAGACTAATTACGGCACCAGGAATTTGTTAAGATGTAGAAACATCCATTAAGAACGAGAAACAACCCAATCTACAACAGGGCTTCAAAAGGTCAAGGAAACCAAGCCTGAAGAGCTTCTATTTCTCTGTGGAAGCCTTTGCTTTATCTCCAGGGGCTCCTGCAAGAGCAGAGTGCCCTGGATGCTGCCCTGGCCATCCTGGTGCAGTCGCCTGGGGACCCTGCAGGTATTCCTGGTGCTCTGGCAGCATTCCTGCTGAGCTGTACGTGTGCTAGTGATACTGATGGGCATAATCCAACTACCCATTCCCCAGAGGAGAGCCAACATTTATCTCCATTCCCAGTGACTCCACTCCTAGCAATAAATACACTCTGGTAGCTGTCAGAGGGAGGCAGCTCTAGCACAGCTCTGACGTGCAAGTGTTGTCCTGCTTGAGCAAACAGTATTGATGTCACTCAGGGAAGAAAAAGGCCTGTGTTGGTATATCACACATCCAGGTGGGACCCTGACAGGCTGTGGTGGAGCCAGGATCAGCCTCACAGTGGCTTTTGTCCCTTCACATTAACCACGGCAATGCTGCTTCCACCTGATGTACAGCCACACACCGAGCAGCAAAGGAGCGAGGATTTCCCAAGACCAGCCCAAATCAAGACCAAGCAGCTCTGGGGAACCAGTTTTCATGGTGACATATGTGACCTCAGGAGTATGAGACAATCAGACCTTAGATGGGCAACCACAGGCAAGCCCTCTTTCATAAGCCCCGTTTTCCATCCTTACCTGGATAAACTCTGCCAGAACAGAGTGTCCTCTGAGCTGAGCAAGCACTACGGAGCAAGAAGAGAAAAACAAAAGCAGTGTCTACATTCAGTGGATACCATGAGATTGTGCAAACTTCGTGGGAAAGATTACCTCTTCCAGAGGCATTTGGCACTTCTAAGCCAATTTCTTCAAAATGGTTGGCGCTGACTATTTTCTGGAGGCACTGGGTCTTTTTTTGGAATAAGATATGCAAAAGGTCTCAAGAGCTGTCTCACAGATCCCACAGTCATGAAAGATCCCCATAAGCTTTTCCTCATAGTCGTAAAGATTCACATCTTCAGCCATTAATCCCTGAAAGACAGACAGTAGCGTGAAAACGTCACAAACTGCAGTTAAAAGTCTCAGATAACTGCAGGTTGAAAGTCCATAATTCCTCCCCTCCTCACAGAGGAAATCTGTGATGCTTGGCAATGCTTTCAAGGGACTTTGGGCTAATTAATGATACAAACAAAATAAAAAAAAAATCTGCTTCACTGGGCCCCTGCTCCTCCATTCAATACCCCCCACTGCAGCTCCTCAGCACGGGCAAGGACACAACCTCTCCCAGGTAAGGAGTTCCCTGTGTCTGCACTGCACCAGGCCAGCCTGAGAGATTTTTAGCTTTAAGCTCTGCCTGGCACGTGGCACATCCATCACGTTACCCTCGTTCATGCTCAGGCACCTTTCCTCCCTGATGCTCAAATCCAGCTGACGCCACAGGGGCTGGGCAGCTGTGCCACTGCTCTCCAACACAACCATCCATTACGGAGCACGTGGGGCCTGTCACCACGTCCCATTTGCTTCTCCACGCCATATGTTAAGCCAGTAGGCTGAGCAGAATCATTTATCTTCTTGTTTTTAACATCAATCCTTTTTTAATATTACTGTTAGCCTTTTCCTGCCCTTAAGAACACCTGAAAAATGCAAAGAGAGCAATGGCACGGCCCAAAGTCATGTTTTTGGGGCACTGCTGGTGAGTGGATGCATTTTTGGGGATGTATTTGTGGCTTGCTTGGTTGGTTCTTTGGGGTTTTTTAACCTTTAAGAGCAGTGCTTCCCACTCTAACACCTAAAGCAACATATTTGCAACCATACTGGCAACATTTGGGGTGAAGAGATATAAACCCCACTATATTATTGCACAAACAAGCAATTCAAAGCCTATTATGAAAGAGCCATCTCCCAACATGAACTTTTAATACATTTCTACTTGATAAAACATTTTGCCAAATGCTGGTTTTAAAGCCTATTATTCTCTTAATTCATCTGTGCCAAGCGTGCAACAGGATTACATCAGTGTATATACACATTAAAACATAAGGACTGTTTGCTCTTCTTTCCCCTGCTCTTCTTTTTAATTAAATTAGTCCTTTAGCATTTTGTCCTTCAGGCAGGGAATGGAATAGGTTTTCCAGAGAAGTCGTGGATGCCCCACCCCTGGAAGCATTCAGGGCCAGGTTGGACTGGGCTCTGAGCACTCTGGTCTAGTGGAAGGTGTCCCTGCCCAAGGCAGCAATGTGGAACTAGATGAGCTTTAAGGTCCCTTCCAACCCAAACAGCAGGGGAATAAATCGCCCTCAGGCCATTCTCAGATGCACATCATCTTCATCTTGTGTGCTTTGTTCACTGTGTCATCCACACATCAGAGATTTCCACAGGCGGGATAGGCGTCGGTGCTTGCTGCTGACAGTGCATGCCCACAGGACACCCAGACAGACAACAATGCCTACTCTCCCAGATTGTTGATATGTAAATCACTATGGCCAAAGGCCAATGTTTTCTTTTTTCCATTATGAAACCGAGCACACGGTGTAATTCTTTCCCCCAAAGAAAAAGAGCAAATAAAGTCAGCACTGCCAGACTTGTGTGGGCTCAGTGTGGGAGCACTGATGTGCACTGCCTCACCACCACCACCTCCCCAGTCACAGGGGTGTGGAAATACAAGATCTGTGTCTCCCATTACTGCCCAAAGCCACTGCAAGTAGGTCAAGCTTGGAGCATCCACCCCCATCCTCACCACAACACCCCATGTCGGAACAGGTCCCCACCCCCACCGTGGGTTTCAAGGGATGGGATGCTACAAGACCAAGTAACATGAGTAAGGCTTCAAAGTAATTAAATTTATCACAGTTCAGACTCTTAAATAACACCTTTTAAAGCCAGGTGTTGAGGGAGGCGGTGGAGGAGGTGTGGAAGGCAGTGGGTAGATCAACATGACCCAGAGTGGGACATGTCAACAGAGCTGAACCTGCCCAGACCCATTTCCTGAGCATCACCCTCATGTCATTTTGTTTTCTTTAGATCTTTCATTCTCACACCCCTTGATCTTTGCTTCATCTTTCGGCTCTTGTTTTGAAATTTGAAACATGTCCTTTGATACCATAAAGGAAGGTCCCAAACAGAGGAAACATGTCCAGAATACAAACCTCATAGAGGAAAACAAGTGCAATCAAGTGGTCACTTCTGAAAGGCTCTGTAGAAAGAGCAACACGCTCTGCACCTCCCTGAGCTCTCCTGATTTATCAGACTGGTAGCAAAGGCCAAGCTGGCCCCACTAGGATTTGAGAGCCATCCTTTGACCACTGAGCTGTCCTTGCTTTTCTCACTCATGGCAAATGGCAAAATCTAAATTCTTACCTCAGGGGATTAGTTTCCAGCTTGTTCAGTTCTCTTTCCAAAGCTAAAGATGACCAGGGACATAAACTTGGATTGTTTAACCTACATATTCCAAGCATTAAACCTGTGCAGACTGTTTATATCACTGTAATTACTTTCATACAGGTTGTTAAAGTCAGATTCATTAGCTTAGGTTACAATGACCTATACAACATGCTTAAAACCCATTTATGCTATTAAAGGGATTTAAAACTCAGCTCCTTTCATGAGATGTCAGTGATTCTTGATTTATGGTCTGGTCATGCTTTAAAAGCAAAAGCAATTACCTCTCTTACTCTGGTAAGAGCCCACTGCCTCAAGGTTGCCAGAATACATCTATAATTGAACAGCATCAGCTCTGATGTTCAGCTTGAGTGACAAAAGCATTGGCTATTGAAATACTGCCTGTGATGGTGTCTGCATAGCAGGGAGCACTGCACCAGCTGACAAGTTTTTGCAGGAACAATTGTACCTCAGGCATCCCAGGATCCACTGTGCAGGGTGTTTCCTGGCAGTGGCAATACTTAAAAAAATACCCAGCCCGAATTCCTTGCAAGCGCCAAGATCTTTTGTTTGAACGCTTTTCCTTTGAAGCTTGCATGAATTTTATTTCAAAGAAATTTCTTTGAGTGTTCCTAGAAATAGGATGACTCCGTGATGCACGATCCACTTTGCAGTTGCATCGTTTTAGGCATCCAACTGACTTTCAAACCACAGACTAAACGGGGTGAGCGAGGCAACATTGGGTCCCAAAAAATTTCCCAAGCCCAGTCTCTTCAGGAAAAGTGTCCAAACTCACTTATTTGTCCCAAACACGCTGCAAACACCGCTGGTGCACAGATGGGTGCTGATGGCTAGACGTGGACTCTTGGATTCAAGCAAATGCAACGTGACCCATCGTGGTCGTACCTGTGCAATGCTGTGCCCAGGCTGGTAGATTTACAGCAGGATCAGAGTGCTTTGACATCACTTACATCTGAAAGTTCCCTGGAAGCATCCTCTTGATACAAAGAATACACACAAAAATTGTAATGGCTTTCCATATGCAACTGTAAACAAGCAAACAAACAAAACATTCGTGCCAGGGCACACACCCAGAGGAACATGGAAGTTAATCCCTCTCTTCTGAAGGCAGCACAGACTCAAACTGGCAAAATCTGAAATACTTTGGTTCAGAAATAACTAAACTCCTCTTCATGCTCATTAAATTAGACAACGTGACCATTTTCTCCCCATCCTTGTTTTTGGCCTCTGCTAGCGAAAAATGGGTCTGCCCAGGCTCCTACAGAGCTTGAAAGCAGCTTTAAGATTAATCCTTGTCCCTGCACGTGTCCATAACCTCCAGTGAGCTGGAGCTCTCCATTCCCCTACACCACCCCTCGTATCCAGCCCAGATGCTCTCATTTGAGTCAGAGCTCTCATTTCAGCACACTTTAAAACTTCCTCAGCCCTTTTCCTTACCTGCAGCCACATGGACAGTCCCCTGCATTAGCACTGCTCAAAATGCAGAGATGATCCCTTAGCAAGTGACCACCAAAGCTTCCCCCTCATGGCCAGCCAGTGACACAACCACAGGAATGCACAATATTTCACCTCTCTTCCCAGTTTGCAATGTTAGCAGCACATGTGGCTGTCATCAGGGGCCCCATAAAGAGGGCAAACGGAGCCAGAATAATAAATAATTTTTAAAAAAAAGTTATGAAAGCAAATTGCTTTATAACTCACCTTCTGTCTCACCAAAGCCGCATCTCTGAAAATCAATTCTTTACATGAAGTAAGAACCCGTGTCAGCCACAGGAATGAATGCAGAGTAGGAGAGGGGGAGCCCCAGGACACCAGCCAGGGATTTGCTTGGTAAAAAGCATCTGACAGCATTTACTTCTTGGCCAAACCTGCATTCCAGAGGCTGGATCAGAGGGATGTGTATAAAACCTGCTCTTTAATCATGATTTCCACAGTTTATAACCCCTTCTAAACTATACACGTGTGTGTTTTTAATGTATATAACACTTGATTAGTGTGGGGCATTAAGTGATGTTTTAGAGTATTATTTATTAGTCCTTTTTTAGGGCTACAGACTGTTTCTTTAATTTCTCAGGTGCTTTTCTCCACACCATATGCATGTTGTTAGAAATGTTATCTTTGCAAACAGACCCAAATCGTGGCAGTTAATTTGGGGTTTTTAATACACCAGTTTCCACTGCTAGAACTAAACATCTTCTCTTCCCACTCCTAAAATACCTTTCCATTAGATCAGCTTTTTTGGTAAGAGAAGGAGCATAACACCTTGACATTTGTCCTCAAGAGCACAAGACAGTGTCAGCACTAAAATCCACAGGGTCTTGTTGGCCACAAACACACGTGATTTATTCTGCAGTTCTCCCAGTCTCACAGTTGGGATTGTTTTCAATGCAAGCCCTCAGCAAAAGAAATCTGCTTCTAATACTATAGCCCATTAAATGGCACATAATTCAATAGTGTGTTACAACAGAATTATCTTTAAAACACAAAGTAAGATTCCCTGTAGGAAAAAAACACAATAACAATCTTTGATACCACAGTTGTTTGAGGCTTGCTAAACTATCTTTGTAGTTAGGTGAGGAGATACAAAATGACTATTCAGAATAGAAATTTCCTGGGAAATTAAAGTTAAAAAAAATAAACTGAAGTCAAAACTTCCAAGTAAATGCCTAGTTTAATATGTCTGCAATGTGCAAGATAATATTCCTATTAAGAAAGTCAAGGGGATAAAAAAAAAATTACATTTTATAACTACAGCCAGATAACAAAGCAACAATTAAAGATTGTTATGAAGATTGGTAGGCACAACAGCTGACTGTTAGGAGAATCTTGGTTCTATAATATATAATGCACCTAAGGGCAAAATTCCAGCCCACAGAATTTCCAGGTAAATTGGGTGTGAAGAGAAAAACAGCCACCTCCATCCACGATGGAGACAGAGATAGGCTGACTGGCTGCAAGTTCCCTCACCCTGAAGGCAGCCATAATTCAGAGGTTGCCACCCATTATGGCACCCTCCTCTCCCTTCCAGCTCCCAAGTTGCCTCTGTGCCAGCTGGGATCACGACCTGCCCAAACAGGGCACCAAGGGCCATCTCGGCTCTTTTCCCTGGAGAAGCTCCCACCTCATTCCTGCTCAGTGCTCTCCTGCTCTGGGACCAAGGGGCAGCCCAGGAAGGGAGGGAATGCAGCCCTGATCCCCAAAAAAGCACCAAGAGTCAGACAAGACAGAAAGGGTCACAGCCATGCAGTTACTAAATGTTAATATTTTTTTATTACGCCTTTTTGCTGACACATAAAAAGTTAGGGAAATAGATAAAGGAATAGACTGGCAGAGAGAGAGAAATAGTCCCAGATTTTCTGAGTTTGAAACGGTTTTTTTGTCACACTTCCCCAGAGGAAAGCAAAAGTCTGTAATCAGGGGACTGATATAAACCCACCTGGTGATAAACCTCAGCAGCAAAAGCAGTAATTGTGACAAAATGTACAGGACAGGAGGATTTCCCCACTGGGACACAGATTAAAAAGGTGGCCCAAGCCCTCTGAGCATCCTCTGTGCATTTATAGGAGACTTGCACTGATGTATAAGACCCATGAAGGTGACTGAATAAACACTACAGATGCAAATTAAAGAGTGATTTTGTTCAGTTGGCTGCAAGAGGACATCACACCACAAGGATTATGACAGAAGTTGCTCAGAAAGGAAGTGAAAAATGTTATTCTACATTTAAAACCCAGAATGTGATAACTTTTAATTTTTCAGCATTTGAAAAGAAAATGCATCACCCAAAATGAATTTAGGGAAGGGGAGCAACCACAGTCTATCAGAAGATGGACACTGGACTCCAGTAAAGCCATCATGGAGACTGAGTGAGCACAAACTCCTCCCAAAGCAGAGGGAGACAAGAAGGCATCAGGAGAAATGGGCAAAAACACGACTCTTGTAAACCCAAAACTGAGAGAGGAATAGCACAAAAAGCAGAGGTGAGGTGAGACTTTGCTCATAATCAGAAATGCACAGGTACATACAGGTAGTGCACAGAAAGATCCAGACAGTCACATCAAATCAGCAGCTGTTACACTTATTATGGCACTCACTGTTACTGTAGGAAGGAAATTGTTTATTTCTTCATAAAGGTCTTGATATGTCTTCATTCATCCCCCACCCCAACTAATTTATGTTGCCTGGTCTAGCAAAGAGAACACATTCTAAACTTCACAACTATAAATCAAAAACCTTGGGCAGGGGGAGTAAATACAATCATTTCACAAGTTCAACAGAACCAAAACCCAAACCTCAAACATATTAGGCTGCAGTGGGAAAAATTTCCATTAGACATTTCTCAATCCCTCCAGTGATAGGAATATATGTAGCTCCTTATAAGGTTTAAGAAGGTTACTGGCTCTCATGGATGTTTTGTTTTCAAAAGCAGGCTATGCCTCTGTCTGTGTGCTGGTGATGCCTTGTGAAGCAGACAGGAACCATATAATTTCGTGAGATACCTTACACAGAAGGCAGGCTATAAAGACATCAGGAAAACACTGAAATTCCTCAAAAAATACCCCATTTGGGAATAGCTTTCCATTTCTGTTTATCCACTGCTTTTCCACATCACTCTTAACACAAAGATTCACCTCTTTGCAAGGCAGTGTAAATTCAACTTAACGAAGACAGTACAATAAATAGCAGTGTCCTTTATATAAAGAGTTTTCCCCAGCTATCTCATCAAGCGAGACAAGTGCTGACGGACACCTTAGAGGTTTTTGCTCTCATCTTCTGATGTTCCCTGCTCCCTTGGAACAGCCTCAGCACTCAGCATCTTGCTAATGAAGAAGTCATAGCACCAGAGAGGGAAGCAGCAGAAGAAGCAGAGGAGCACGTAGGCCCCCTTGCCAGGGGTGTAGAGCCCGTGGGGTCTCCTGGCCAGCAGAGCGTGCAGGACATCGCCCAGCACAGGGGACAGGTCGGGGTCACAGCAGGTGGGCATGTGGAGGAGGTAGCTCCTCAGCCCCAGGAGATAGTCCTCACCATAGGCCTGCCTTGTGTCTGCTGGGAGGTTCTCCATCAGCTCCTTTTCCTGCTTATCCCACAGGTCGGCTGTGCCTTGTATACCTGCAGTAGCAACATCACAGGATAGCAAGTGGGTCTGGGGCTGAATGTTAAACAAAAATAAAAATCATCTGTAATTCATAGACAACAAGTTGTTTTCCATCACCAACCTGATTCACAGTTGTTCTGAACTGTGTCAGTGAAGAACAAACACCACAGGTGGTCACTGCAAGGGTTTTGACGTGGAAAAGGAGGGAAAGCACAAAGCACAGACTACACAAAAAGCAGAGGGTTCGTGCATCATTTGGTTACCAACTCCATCTAAAAAGGTTCTCTCACAGCCAAGTCAGCATTTTTATTTTTCCCCTCTTCCAGCCCTTTGCCATTCTGTCCTTATTCATTTTGTGGTTGTTTCCAATCAGTATTTATTAACTGATGTCAGCAACTGAGGACAGACAGGCAAACTAAGATGAACAGGATTCAGCTGGGTTGGCTCCCCTTTCACAAGTGACATCAGTATTTCAATAACTAGTTTCATGAAGGATGAGCCTTGTACTAGGATGGATTTAAAAATATAAATAAATCTATTTTTCCACCCCATCTGCATCATGTAGGAATGAAAGCAGTGGCTTCTCCAATACAATTATTGCCTTATTATCAAGAATTAAGCATCGTAAACAAAGAAAAATCTTTAAATATTTAAATTTCAATTCCCAGGCCTCACTTTGATCCACTTCCACTTGAGGAAGGCAGGACTGACAGGGGGACCTGGAGTTCTCACACAGAACAAGCAGGTCCTAACACCCAAATCAGACACACTGTGATGCTCATCAGCTTCAACCAAGCTGGAGCAAAGGGAAGGCACCAACTGCCTGAACCCTGCCCTGGCTCCCAGCAAAGACAGCTCTGCCCAGGAGAGGCAGAGGCAGGCAGTGTGCTGTACTGGGGGGAATATCTCTCACAAAAAACACAGATCTTAATTTCCATAACCAACATGAAGAATAGCAAAAAAAAAAAAAGCCTAGCTCCTGAACATCACTCAGGGCTCTGTTTGAGGCTGCTGGGCTACAGGGAAAGAGGAGAGGCAGAAAGAACAACCCAAAATGTCAAACACCAACCTGTTCTGAAGCCTGATGGATGAATTGCAGCAACTTTAATTCCCCATTTGGAAAGCTCTTGCCTCATTACTCCAGAAAACATGGACAGAGCTGCTTTTGATGCACCGTACGCAGCATACCTCGGCAGTGGAATGCCTCCTGCAGGAGCAATACAAACATGATAAACCTCAGTGGTGGCTCTTCCCAGCCTTTATTCTCGTGATTTAGAAGGAAGATTATAGCACAACCAGAATTATGCATCTCTCACTGAGGTTAACGACAAGTCAGCGAGGGAATGATTCCTTGCTGGAGGATAAAAAAAGAGTGAAAGTTGTAAATTAACAGTTGCTTATGGCAGTTATGCTCAGTAACACCTGATAAGACACCTTGCAGGGCAGAAAAATAAACTGTATTCCATTTAAGGGTAAAAAGTGCTTAAAGTTATGACTGTTGGTTTGAGAAACACAGATAACGTTTTAGTTCATGTATATAGTGAAGCAGTAGTTTTATGAATGCCAGCTTTATAAAACCAACTTATTTTCCTCCTCTTTCCAGATAGTTTCAGAAAGACCAGAGACAATAGTTCAGAAAACCTCTGTGTACAAATCAAAGCTGGAGTCTCACTCTGCAGATGACAGGACTTCCCCAAGACCCATCACAGAAGCAGATTCCCAGCCTATAGTTATAACTCATCTGCTCCAATCCCAGAAGCATTTGTCCACATGAAAAAGTTAAGAAAGCAGCCAATGTTCTGGGTGAATTTAAAAGAAATCTATACATTTACAAAAACAAGCTTCCAGAAAACAAAATCTTCCAAATCCAGAGATTTCCTCTGTCCCAGAAACCAGCAGACTGTCACTCCTCCAGCTTTAGAAAAATCCGTGCTTGGGTTTGAGCATATTGTCCTTCTTCAGCCCTCCCACTTTCTGGTGTTATCACCACACAGATCATCTCTGCCAGGTTTAGGATCATCACAGCCACCCCTGCTGCGCTGGCAGCGGGGAGGAGGGCATGGAATGGACAGCCCTTCTCCTTGAGGTACATCCCTCCTCCTGCTGCCTGCATGGCCAGTTGGACACATCCTCCCATACAGCCTCTGTTTCACCTATTACACTTTCACCTCGATGTCCTTCAAAAGAAAATACTTGGATAGAGGGGAATTTTCAGGTTAAACCACCTGTGCCTTCTATTGGGTACACTGCACTGCAAAGACCAGGGTATCATCTTCTTACACGGAGTCATTTCTTTAAAGAAGTCAGGCCAATTATATGTTAATTATTCTTCTGGATGCATCTGAGTAAGCTGGAGTTTCAATTGGTTTGAGCCAATTGAATCACATACCTTTCCCTCTGAGGTCAGGCTAACCTGGGTCCACTTAAACGAGCTCTCCACAGACAGGAAGAGATTGGGCACAATGAGACCTCACTAACTTTTCCACTAATGTTTTACTAAAGGACCCTCAGACCCTGAATTAAGAAGAAGCCACTCACCCACAGCAGCCTGCAGGCAAGAACATCTCTGCAGACAGCTGTAGTTTAAGCAGGGTCATTATCAACTCCTGTAAGGGCAAATTACTCGGCACAGGGAAGCTCTCCATTTATCCCTGCAAGGCAGCTCAGGGATTCGTGCTAAAAATTAAGACATCTGCCCCAAAACACCAGTGCAGGCTTCACCTGGGCACTCAGAGGAAACAGAGGTCTGGCCTCAGCCTCTGTGCTTGCAAGAGCTGGTGGGCAAAGCAGCACCAGAAAGGTCCTTCTGATAATTCCATCCTGATTTCTTAAAGTGTCAGCAATGAACCATAAACACAGACTCATACAGGTAACTGTCACATAAAAGAATTTGCTCTGTTTACACTGATACTGTGAGAAGAACACAGGAGTTATTCTGTATCATCATTTAAAATATTTAAATATTTAAGACCTTGTTAAGTGTTTTCACAGCAAGATTACAACTCTCCGTACATTTTAGATCTGGAAGATTCAAGACAGCTTTGTTTGGGGCAATTGTTTTAATATGGAGAAACTTCAAAAAGGAGTAACTGAAACAGGAAACATTTTTCTTGCTAACATTTTACCTGGAACTTTCTTACTCTGAGCCTGCCTTGTCTGTTTTCACACTTCCATGTAGTTTCCTCATAGATACTTCCTTCACCACCCCACTCCCTCTTTTTTGTAAACTATTTTAAATTTTCACTTGTAGCACCCATTCAACCAGGCAAGGGATGTTGCAGGAGTTGGAGAAGATAACTTTTGAAACAGAGCTCCCTGTGTGCTTAGTGCCAGGGTAGTGCAGCTGGACCTTCCTTCTGAGTTCAGAATTCTCCTCTCAGGCTCTTCCTCTGGGCTGGACTCTTTACAGCACGAACCAGAGAAATCACACTTATGCAAATCCTTGTATAATTTCTAAAATCGTGCATGAAGGCAAACAGAAGTTCTCGCTGTAGACATGCAGATATAGAACATCTTTGGGATTATAAAGAGAAAACAATTGACAGTGTCAGAGCCAGACTGCAGCCCCATCCCCACGTGAGCTGTGAGCACCAGGTCACACCTTCACAAGCCACCCCAGCAATGCAGCAGGATCTGGGTGGACTCCAATTGCACAGAAGGGTCCAAGCAGACAGAGCAAAGGAAAATTTGGGAAGCACATGATACAGTAAAGAGTTCTGAAACCAAAATACTTTTCAGCAGCATTTCCTGCTTCTAGCAGGTCTCAGTTTCAAAGGAGCATTCTTGCTCCTCAGCTGTTGGCTCCCAGACAGTGTATTACATTACTTCCCACATATTGGCATCTCAGCTGTCCTCCTAGAATAGCAGGACATGTTATGCATATATATAGTAAGAACAATTTAGGGAAAAAAATGGAAAGCATATGGTAATTCTTTAAAAGGTTGTAGTTTTGGTGGTTTGGGGTTTTTTTTTAATAAAAATTTACCACTTCGCTAATAAGTTAGGCCTAAGGATTTCTAAGAAGAGATCCAAAATATTTTTAAAGAAATATAAACACAACTTCTTCAGCTCCCAGATTATCAGCAGATATCACACACTGAGGTGGTCACAGCCTTCCACCTGAACATGTTATACAAGTATCTTTATTTCATCTTTATGGAAGCTCACAAAGTTATCACTTACAGCATCTAGAACACAAGATCTGAATTTTACTGTCTTTTCTGTCACAGAATATTTTCAGCCATCATAAACTCTTCTTTGAAAGCTGTTTTCTGGAAATATAATCTCCCAAATAAAAGAAAAACTGAACTCATTCCCTTAATATTAATTCCCTGGGTGTATAGACAAGAAAGACTGACTGACACCTTCCTCAGCATTTTTGCCAAGGAAGTTCACTGTTTTCGTTCTGTTGCTCCAGAAATGTATTTGGAGCTGTAGCTCAGCTCACCTGCCATGCTGGACATGTTCACCAGCCTCCCCTGCGACTTCCGAAGTAACGGTAAGAAGGTCTTGGACACCTCCACAGCCCCAAAGAAATTCACCTCCATGCACTGCCTGTAGTTGCTCATGGGGAGCAGCTCACCATCAGCAGGGAAGCCCAGGATGCCTGCGTTGTTCACAACACCCCAGAGGCCTGGGAAGAGGAGAAGGCACAGGAAATACACAGCCAAAGAGCAGCAAACCAACTGCATAAGGGTTACACTGATGAGATGGATGGTGCCTCCAGACAGAAGCAGAGATGATCTGCAGCTGCAGATACACATTCCCTGCTCCATGAACAGTCATTACCATTTTCCTGTATCCCAGAAAGCAGGAGCCATCACTGTAAATACCCTGACTGCCCAAGGCTGTGCCATGGAAATGACCTGCACACACAAGCCACGAGGCAGCCAAGAGATGCACCTGGATGCAGCTCCACTAATGCTCCCATTAAAATGGAATAAAAGCTGTACCTGCACTTTGCACCTTCTCTGAGACTTTCAGATAGGCTTCCTTGACTTGAGTGGCATTGGTTATATCCAGCTGCAGGAGAGAGAGCCTCCCAGAGCAGCTCCGCTGCAGTTCCTCAGCTCCAGGTCCGTCCTTATCCAAAACCCCAGCAAACACAACAAAGCCTAAGCTGTCCAGGTATTTAGCCAGTGCATGTCCAATCCCGGTGTCACTTCCTGAAAGCATCAACAAAGACACTTGAGAAGTGGGTCTGTCCCATACCATTCATTTAAAAAAAAAAAAAAAAGAAGGTAAAAAAATACACACGTTGAAAATCCATGCAAATGTAAACAGATGATGGCAAAGTCCCTGAAATGCATAGGAAGGAAGAAAGGTTCAGATCTGAAGGTTTGAGGAGCTGGACCTCTGAATGTTCCATAAAAATGGATAGATCACATTCTCTTGGCTCAGAGCTGATGGCACCAGCTCATGCTCTTCCACTGACAGATTCTATGACTCACTTCACACATACAGAGGAAATAAAACCCCAGATTGGTTTTATACAAATATTCAGTCTCAAACCTGATAACAAAAGTATTTAAGAAAAAAAAGAATAAACACACTAATGTGTTAATTTGAAATCTCTGATGGACAAAGGAATTATGGGGTATTTTTCCATTCAAATTCTTGGGTTCTATTTTTTAATTCAAAAAAAGGAACATTGTTTTATTCAAACATTTACCACCCAGATCCCTCTGATAAGCACTTTCTTGTCACAGTGTGTAACCAAGACAAAGCAAAGCAACTGTTTCTCTACATGCAAAGGAATTCAGTGCTTTCAAACCCTAAGAAAGCTTCAGGACAGCATCTCTGTGCTAAGTCAGCTATTTAATTCATTCAAACTTGCATCAGAATTTCTCTTATCCTCTCTAATGCTCTTCCAAACTTATTCCCAGACTTTGCCTACATGAAGCAATGGCCTACCAACTGCAGGAAGCAAACACACAATGGTCTTTGGGATCACAGTTGTGCAATTCCTCCCGCCAGGTACAGATGATGAATGTTTAACAAATAATCTGATTGATTCACAAGTCTCTCCCTTTGACCCAGTATTTTGCTGCTGCTGCTATTGAATGAATCACAGAATGGTTTGGGCTGGAAAGGACCTTAAATGTCATCTCATTCCAACTGCCCTGCCAAGGGCAGGGACACCTTCCACTAGACCAGGTTGCTCCAAGTGCCATCCAAAATAGCCTGGAACACTTCCAGGGATGAGGCAGCCACAGCTTCCCTGGGCAACCTGTGCCAGTGCCTCACCGCCCTCAGAGAGAAAATTTCTTCCTAATATCCAACCTAAACCTACTCTCTGTCAGTTTAAAGCCATTCCCCCTTGCCCTGTGTCTCCCCTCCTCTGCCAGAAGTCCCTCACACAGCTGGAGACAGGGAAGGGGTTTATAGGGACTGTGCATCAGGAGTTTTGCAAAGGATATCATGAGGAAAATGAGGAGTTTAAGAAATTAATACAAGTTTTGCACTGTAAAGCAGAGAAATATCAGCCTGTTCTGCACCACACCCTCCACTGTAACCACAGCAAAGAAAGCTCCTGGAGATGCTGCTGCACACCGAGATCCACGGAGCTACCCCAGGGCTCGACTATCTCCTGAAACAGCAATTTACTACACAGACACTCAGCTTCCAGACTCTGGAAACCTGAATGTGGGACAAAGGATTGGAACTCCTGCCAGTTTTTTTACTGTTTTCCTGTTTATGAAGGAGCTGCAATGCTCCCTACTTAACCCGACCATCAACTTCTAAGGGTTAGTCTGTGATTTCAGCACACCAAGGCAGATATAATCACAGTTATTCACAGGTCTGCTCCTACACTCAAAGTCTGTAGTCAATAGAATTTGACTGCCAAGGAGACTCATGGTAATCATGTTAGATCTTCATTTCTGGATTCTGTCTTTTAACTGGGGCTTTAGTTCTGAAAGGTGAAAAAAAATTAATTCCAGGTGGCTTGAAGGAAACACGTACTAAATGCCTGGATCAATCAGTGCAGATGCAGAAAGGATTACTCCTGCTCTATTTAATTCTTAAAAAAAAAAAAAAAAAGCATCTGCTTTTTTTGGCATTTTAGAAGTCTGCAATTTGTTGAAGATGCACTGGAGTACTACAAGTATCACATTAAGCTGCTCCAGTCCTGACCTGAAAGAACAAACCTGTATTCTGTATTCTTGGAATTTCCTTAAGAGACATGAAGAGGCCTGCAAATATCCCAGAGACATGACAGATTTCTTGGTTTGGGGTGGAGCATCATCCCTTCTTTTCCTTATAGTGAAAAACCCTACTTTTGGGTCAAATCCTTCCCCTTTCATCCTTCCCAGAAAGTCCACAGCCACAGCTACATATTAAGTTTTACAAGGCAGCTTTACCTTGAGAATGGGCAGATACAGCTTAAATGTGGGATTGGAGCAGCAATCCTGAGAAGGAAATAACACTAGTGTTTATGCTGGGTTTGTTCCTGGCTTTTTGGGGGGGGGGGAAGTATGATTTGAGTTTCAGACCCGTTATTGAAGTCTGGAGAAACTTTACACTTCAGCTCCCAGGATTCAAACAGTAGTTCGGTCTCTATAGGGAAAAAAATATTCAATTCCCCCTCAACCACACTCCTGTAGGAGTCTTGTTTGCAATAATTTGTGAATTATGAGAGGATTTATTATAAGGAAGGCAGTCACTACTGACTGTAACTGAATCATTACTGTGAATTTATGATTGACTCATGCAGAGCTTAAAACACCAAATCACACACCAAGAATGGAAAGACCAAATTAACAGGAGAAATTCAGCCCACTGCTCAGAGAATAATTCTGAGGACAGAATTCCACAATTCCTGTTATTTTGGATCTTGGTGGTAATTTAATTTATAGCTAAGGTGGTTATTGGGTTTACCAAACTACACTAAAGTGTTCTCATGCCCAGGAGCTCCTGTTTTAGGACACTGTAGCACTCACTCCCAGCAAGAGGATCAAGAGAAGAGCTCCAGCAACAGCTTTAAGCCTGCTGACCTGGCCATAATTATTCATGTGGGAAAGCATTTTAACCTTATCCTGGTACTCCAGTAACTGTGGGATTAAATAATGCACAGCAGCACCAGCACTTCCCTCCATCCAGAGAGGACCAGAACAATAATCCAGGGAGAAAAGCAGAGATTACTCCAGCCTCTGGCCAAAGACAGCCAGAAACTGTGGCAGCTGCCCAGAGACAGCCACATTCCTCAACCCTGAGGGGCTGAAAGGGGGAGGGGGGAAAAAAGAATCCAAAATCACCATTTTCCACCAAGTGCCTGCCTCAGGTCTTGTCTAAACTGGAGAAAATTACTCCAAAATTTATTTAAAGGCACCTTGCACCTGCAAATGCACAGGGACACACGTCCTACAGTTGGTATGGGGAAGAATACCACAGAATCAGAATAACTAAACCAAGGCACACGTTCAGTAAAACTTTTGTTTCAGTAGATAGAGGGCTTGATTGATTGATTGATTGATTGCATAGGATTCAAATAAAGACAAAAAATAGCCCCCTCAAATGAATCAGCTGTCAGAGATGTCCAGACTTGGATTTCTTCAGGACAGTTGCAGCACAGGTACAAAGAAAAAACATTCACTTGCTGGACTTTACCCAAATGTTCTTTACTCCCTTACACTGTCCTAATTCAGATTCTACAGAGCAGGTAAGCTCCCAGAAAGTGCTTTTTCCTGAAAGTTTGCAGTCTCACAAAGAGCAAGAAGATGCCCAAGTGCAAGAACAAGCCCTGAGCCTGCAGGGGTGGGATAGGATTGCTCCCTACTTCCCCCTGCCAATACCCATCTTCATCTGCTACACCTGCAGGGAGAAACCCAGCTGGCAGATAAACTGCAAGGGGAGAACTTGCTGCTACTCTTGCCCCCTCTCAACTTTTATATTTAATCCCCATATTAAAGCTCGCTAGGCAAATCTAAATTATTTCCAGGTGTCCCCATAAAACAAAATGAAATTCTGCAAGAAATTGCTCTATGAACCAAAACTACTTAATTCAGCTTTCCAGAGGGAAAAAAAACAACAAACAAATGAGAAAACAAAATAAACCCCAGCAAATTAACAGTGCAAGAAGTAGTTGGCAGCTACTCCAGTTTAAAGTTTTGATTTACACAAATAAAAAACATCAAATAAACACCATCTAAAGTTTTAGAAGAAACAGGAGAAAAGTCATAACACTAGAAAAATGCCCATCCCTGCAAAACAAAAGTGTGTTTTGAGTGGATCAGAGTGTTAACAGAGCCTGAATTAATTAGCTCTGAACTTTCACTGCTAGTGAAGGGAATTAATCCCTCACGAATGATTTCACAAATGGTTTCAAAGGGATGGCACCAAACCAGTGCCTTGAAATACTTGCATGATATGCAGTGTGCACTGTGTACACACACACCCCTCCAAAGATAACTAACTGTGCACTCATAACCAGCACAATACATTCGAGTAAACAAAAGTCATGAGTGAATGTACTGTTCGGAGGGCTCCCACAAATTATTAAGTCTCTCCTAAAAAAGTAGACCACTCTAATTATTCTCATGCTTTTTGCACCAGTTAATTTCAAAAGCACGCCCTAAAAAGCTACTTGTAAAGATTAAATGAGACACTGAAAAAAAATAATAGCATCTATTAAGATGCTTTTCTGCTTAATTTCAGAACATTTATTTACCTAGAAAAGAAAACAAACCATCTCTGCCAAAGCAAGTAAAACAAGCAAAAAAAATATATATATATATAAAAAGAACTCTTACAAGCATGCACTTCATAGATCCCTAACCCGAGGAACACAAAGTTTTCCAGCCCACTTGTGAGAAAAGCCAGTTTTTGTTTCCTGCAGCACCTTACCTGTGACGAGCACGGCTTTGTCACCCACAGGCAGCAGAATTTGGCCGCCCAGGTACGTGGAGGAGACGAGGCACGTGGCCAAAAACACCACCAGCCCCCCAGCAGCCCCCAGCAGGGCCATGCAGAGCAGCCCCAGCAAGGCAGGCAGGAGGCTCCAGAGCAGCACATTTGCTTTGTCCATGGGGCTCCTCTCGGCCCTGCAGAGCGTGGTCACCCCAAAAAGCGCCGCGACACCCACGAAGAGCCACCCAAGGGGGCTGCTGGCCAGAGCATCCATCAGCAGGGGTGCAGAGCAGGCACTCACACCCCACCACCGGCTGGGTGAAAGCAGGTATTGCCAAATGCAGTGTGTGTTATATAGGAGCAGGGGGTGGGGCACAGAAAGGGGACTCTGTTTAAAGGTTTGACATAATCTCACTTACCCTTGGCATCAGCAAGAAGCAGAAGCCTTCTCTTTCTTACCTTTCATTCCTTCTGCCTGACAGCTCCACCTTCTGAACAATATGCTGGCTGGATAATGATTGACAGCACCGGGAATGGATGTGATGTAGCAAGCGCTGGCTCCAGGAAAAAGATTAACTGCTAAATTTTTTATATCTTCAAAGTGCATTTTCCTGGACGGTGAAAAAAATAAAAAAAAAAAAGAACCAGAACAGTTTCCTTTATGAGAAATAGTTGGAATTTCCTGCCTAAAAACTTAGGGTGTAGTTTTGGTGGAACTGGTTTTTGATGGGCAATGACAAAAATGAGTCAGGACAGGGTTGTTTAACCTCTGCAGTACAAACTGTGTGGTTAGTGTTGGGCTTTATCTCACCTGGAACACCCTCCTCTGTCAACAGAAAAACCTCAAATGACTTTGCCCACTTCAGTGCCCACTTTTGGCTATTTACCTCTTCCACATCCAGCAAATACCTACAGCTAATTGACATTCAGGGGGGGTCTGGGAGGCTGGGAAGGGGTGGTTGCTGATTTGCCATTAGGGGCACTTTGTTAGGTGAGCACATGAAACACACCTGAGCCTGAATCTTCACTCGACCTCCAGTGATGACATTCACCTTAGTTTGGACAGGAATCCCTGGCTTGATACCCAGAGCAAGCTTAGGGGGTAGGGGAGTGGGGAAGTAACCAATTAAGTATATTTGAGAGATTTAACACCTACTGTGCTGTAATCTGAAAGTTACTTAAACAATAAGGAAATTTTAAAATCCAGCCAGCCAAAAGGATCGAAATACAAATGAGGCATATTTAACCCCATTGAAAAATCCCTGCTAATTGGTTTGAGAGACAAAAAAAAAAAAAAATGTAGTGCTGACCTCTCTGAATTCAGACACTGAAGATTGAAGCATGGTGCAAACCTGACATGAAACAGCCCATTTCCACATTTCCATTCCATCATGCCTTTGGGGTTTTATGGGATTACAAATCTGTTGAATATACACTTTTCCAGCCAGTGGAAATGTTTACATACCCCTATACGTAGTTTACATTAGAGATTAGGTCACCCTCTTAAAAGAACGTTACCCTCCAGGGCTATTCATCATTCATGAACACTCATCCACCCATCCTCCCACCAGTGTGAACTATTTTCACTTCTCTGTGCCATCTGCTGCTTCTGCTTTTAGTAGCACACTGGTCTTGAGGTCAATTATACCTCGCTCTCCATTAAGGCATCTTCTTAAATATTCTCTTGGAGAATTTTGCTCTCTCCATCATTGGTCTCTAGCACGTGATTTAGAGGATCTCAAACGTGCTGGCATTTAAAGCATGCACTCTCACACTTGAGGATACAGCTTTTCCACAGTGGGATGAGGGGCAGCAGTGATCACCTCCAGCCCAGTGTTGGCCCTGCCTCCCCTCAGCCTGTGGGGATGGGACAGAAGTGGGCAAGGGGCCAAGCTGTGGTGGCCACCATGGCTGGCCCCTGCAGAGCAAGCTCCAAGCTCCATCCCTCTGCTCCCTGCTCCCCTGCCACGTCCCCCACTGAAATGTTTATGTGCACGTGCACATCCCCTCCCTCAGGCACTGACTCTCGGTGTGGGGGATGTGTGGAAAGCTGGGGATGCCATATGCATGAATTATACACCCACCTGCTGCTGTGCACTGACACAACACCTGTCTGCACCCACAACGCTGCAGAACAGCTGTGGGAATGGCTGGAGGGGACAGATCTCTGTCTGAATTAATGCTGAAATTAGATTTTTGATATAAAATATAACCACCGAAGGCTTCTTTTCATGAGAAGCTGACCACGTGCTCGCCCTGGTGTGGGAATAGAATTGTACATAAGTGCAGAGATCATACACAGATTGCTATCAGAAAGGAGGATATGACCTAAAACTGCCTGAGAAATGCTAACGTGGAGTACCCACTTCACGAGGACTCTGCACTTTCTCTGACAGCAGCAATGACAGATTGCTGCTTGAGGATTTTTCAGCAGAATTTTGCAACAAGACAAATTTTATCATCTCGTGCCAACTACTCATCTTGAAAAAGCACCTACTTTACCTCTTTTGGGACGTCTCCAGCTGTCACAGCTGTACAGGATTGCAATTGTGTTTGCCTTATTTCCTATTTCACTGTGCCATGCCTACTCATGCTATGAATGTGCACCCTTATCTCACCTCCTCCTTGATAGTTTTGCTAGAAAAAAGATGGCTCCTCCAAATTATCAGGATGTTGCATCAACATCTGTGTTGTGAGGAGTATGGATTTAAGTTAACTGATGTGGGGCTAAGCTCCATCTACCTTTGCCAGGACGTTTGTCTTCCTTTCCCAGCTTATCAGAGCCATCTCACAGTAACTCAGTGCCCTGTCCCTTTATACCCTGGCAATGCACAGAATCTATACCAGAGCCTGAATTCCACAGTCAGTCCATGCCAACACCAACCAGCAGCAAACAATTCCAAACAGCCTCCCGGCTGAACCGGCTGCTGTGCCATTGCTTACCCTCACCGAGCACTCTGGGCACGTTTCTGATGTTTATTCCTGGGACTTTGCAGATCCCAAGCGTGCCCCACCGTGGAAGTGTCTCCATCCAAGTGATGACTCTTGGAGGTCAATTAAAGCAATGCCAAAAGGAGATGCCTCTCACAGAGAATGGTCACTCTGTGGTAATTTGCAGTGTGATCAGTCAGTCTCTACACAACCCAAATCCAGCTTGTTTTCCTTCAGATTCTACAGTCACAGCATCTTTCACCCTGTGTAGAAGACTTTTTGCAGCACAAAGCAAGGACACCTCTCCAGTGTGGGGGATCTTTACCACAGGCATAAACTCATGGACCACGTTCTCATTCTTTAGGCCCAGACAGTTCTTCCCAGTTATTAATTTACTTCTTCCCCATTTCTTGAGGTTTTTCTCCTGTCACTCTTTGCTGGCTCTGTTTTTCAGCATGATCACTTCGGCCTGTGCTTTTGATTGCTGCTCTTACCATAAAAAAAAGGGTAAAATTTTCAGGTTCCCCAGTTACTTTGAAAGGTGATAAAGCTGAGCCTGGTCACAAGTTCTTTGAAAAGTACCACCAAGCTCTTCTTTGGTTCCACTGTGGTAATGAGCACTCTGTCTTTGCTCTTCATGGCTCCATTTGCAGTTCAGAAGTTTTCCTGATGATTATATTTTCTAAAGCCTCTGTAACTTTCCAGCAGAGTAGAAGTTTCCAGTTCAACCACAAGGCTTTCAGGCATGTCTCTATTACCTCACCCTGCATCATTTTTCACTTCTTTGGCCATTTTTCTCGTGGGTTTTCTTTGCACTTTCCAATAATTTACTATCAACACTTTTTCTTTTCAGCACTTTCCCTTGATCCAGAAGGACCACGTGTGCCATATCCAATATCTGCTGGCTGTTGATATTCTTCTGCCCCAACTGCAACATGAATTACACTGTCTAGAAGCACGAAGCAATTTTTCCACACATCCAATCTCTGTTTCAGCTTCCTCTGCCAGTCACAGATTTGTTTTTCATTTCAGGTTAGAATTTCCCACAGAACTCTTCAGTTTTCTCTTTTGTTTGCTGATTCAGCTGTGCAAGGCAATGACTGTTGCTCATGAGAGCTCCTGCTCCGTGTGCTTCATGTGCTTTTGTGGCTTGGGTAAAGGATCTGCATTTCAGGTTCTCTAGGGAGGCTCTTGTACACAAGGCTTTTCCTGGAAAATAATTTCAGCGTAAAACAGGTTGGAATGTGTTTCAACAAATGAGTCATTAACCAAGACAGAAACACGCTTCTAATGAGTAAACACATACAGGAGCAGGAAAAAAAAAAAAAATATTTACTTTGTATCCTACAGTTTCTGAGAGTGCCTAAACACCTTCATCCATTTGGATTTTGTTGGACTTTATGGCTACATAACTTGTCAGGCTACTAGTCCTGGATGCAGAAGCTGTTGAACTTCCATAGACAAAACTCATTTGGGCAAAGAGACTTTCCCCTCACAAATACTGCAGAACTCCTGTACAAAGGCTGAGATAATCCTCTGCCTTCAGCCATTTCTCTCTTCATGCACTCAACTTGCAACGTGAATTGTCCCAATTATCCCAACTGTCCCCATTACCCTGCCTAAAGCCAGGAATGCAGCCAAGTACCGTGGTGAATTAAGATCTCTGAACTCGCAGGCATGAACTGAATTAGGGGGCAAAAAAAAAAAAAAAAGATAATGTGCAAATGAAAATAAGGCTGTGTAACCTCTCCTTTGTCTGCAAACCATTTATGTAATAGACCCTTAGGGAAAATAATTCCTGCCAAATAAAGTGTGTCTCCACTAAAGAAAAATAAGGAATATTTTTTACCTCCAAGCTACTGGAGATTTTGGTTTTAGAAATGTAGCAATGGTAAATATTGTAAACTCAGAGATTAACAGTAATTTCTGAAGATCTGCACTTGGCAGCGAAGATAAATCTGTAGCCCATCACTGCCCAAAATTCAATTCTAACAAGGGGCAATAATAACAATAAGAAGAAGAACAGCAACAACAACAACTTCCTCAGCTAAATCTCCTGTTACTTTCTCTAAGAAAGAACCTCAGAGTGAAGAACATTTGTACTGATGGCCAAACTGGACCTGTAAATGAAGCCAAGGGCTATAAGTTCTGTCTCAGCATTTATGTGAACTTTAATCACCCTTTGTAAATTTTCTGCAACAGACAAAACATCTTAAATCAGAGAAACCATTAACATTATGAGCACTCCTCTGTATTTGCAAGGGAGGTTTTCTTCTTGAACACTACAGACATCTATGTATCTCTAGGCTTTCAGGAAGAGCTAAAAGGAGACTGCACTCTTTTCAAAATAAGTCATTTTTATCACTATTTTCCAAGAAGAGGATAGATTCTAAAGGCAATTATGTATTCTTTAGGAAGTTATCCAGGAATCATCCCTAGGTTATCCTTATGAGAAATTACACTTGCCTGCCTTTTTTCTGTCATCCTGTAACATGAAACAGCTTCATGAACCATCAGTATTAGAGGAGAAAAGGTATCAGTTTATCTGACAGCACAGACTGTTCCCTAAAATTCCCTCTGGTATATTCAGAGTAAAATTCCAGCCCTGTCTAGAACAGAGCACAGCATAGTGGTGCCTCAATAAATGAGAAATAAAGATATAAGCTGTACTCTCAACTGGAAGATCAGTTTGTTTTTCCAACTAGATTTCTATTATGTCTCCCTATTACCTTTCCTCTTCTACAGCTTTGCCTCTCTGAAGTTAATGGCAGCATCTCTGTGCCCAGAACACCGAGGATTTCCACATTTTTCTAGCTCACTGCTTGTTTCTTTGCAGGTGCTTCCTGAAATGCAGCTGCAGTGTTGCCTGCCTTACCTCTGAAAGGGTTCCCCTAACCACAAGTCATTGCAACTGCCTCTACATCAGATAAAATACACACTTCTGCATCTTCTTTCTGTCACTTTTTCTCCTGCATGTCTCCAGATGTTGACAGGTTGGAGAAAGATCTTGTTCCATACATGTTTATATTAGATCACAAAATATTTAGGCATTATCTATGCAAAAGTCACATGATTTTTGGTGCAGATAAATTCATAAATATCGATGAAAGTAAAGAAGTAGAACAGAAAATTAGGCATACACAGTAATCAAAAGTCTGATTAAAGCACATGTAGACAAACTGAGAAACCGACCCAGGAAAGAGTCCCTTCAAAGTGGGGGCATTTACAACATCACCAACATAACTTATCATTCACTGTAGATAGTGGCAGCATTAAAAATAAAGCACATACAACTTAGAGCCCCAGAACATGTCTGTGAGCTTTGAGCATGGACTCTGCAAAGGGGGTGAAAGAAAAGGGGTGGTAGCACGTCCCCACCATCACTTGGGTTATTAGCTGTGCACATCTGCGACATGCCTTCCCTCCCATCTGCAAACTCTCAAAAACATCGCTGCCTCTCACAAATGGAATTCACTTATTTTTAGATTTTCCTCGCAGTGACATCAGCGGGTCTTTGAAACGAAAGCCAAAGCAGAGCGAGAAGAAAAATGAGCGATGATTCAAAAAAGTATTAAGCGGTCGACGGCGACAAAGCGTCACCTGCCCTACACCCATTCTGTTTCCTGTCACTTGAAGGACAAGCCCCTCGCTTCCAAGTGGTGAAGCCATGTATTTTTGCCGTTGAGGAACGGTGCCCTCCCTCTGTGTGCAACCAGTGACCTGCACTATTATTTTGATGCAATGCGTGTTCGCCACGTACCGGATGTCCCCGGTTTCTCCTTCGCTGCTGCAGTCTGAAGGACGTCCCCGTGCCTGTCGCTTTCCCAGCCGTGTTTGTGCTGCTTGTGAACTGCTGCAATTCCATTTGAACGTTGTCAGCAAGACCAGCTCTCGGTCAGGAGTGACTCAGTGACGGATGGTCCTGCCGGGGAGCAGCGGGACAAACCAGGTGACCTCTTGTGGTCCCTTTCAGGACCTGCGGGGGGCTTTGATGGTTCTGTGGCAGGTAGCATTTTAGTTAATGATATTTTTTTCTCTAGGCAATCCACCAACTATGAAAAAAGCTGTATATTCAATGCCATTTTTTTTGTTGTTTTGCTTCCCTTTATTATATTGTCCATCTTAGACATTTTACATCGTGTGCAGTAACCTCGACCCCGACTCAAAAATTGTTTAGATGTAAGCATATTTAATCCCATTAAAATCACTATGACTATCCACACATAAAACTAAACAGATGACTTAATAGGTTGCTGAATGACAACCTTGAGACCCATTAGGTTTAAACGTTCCCCGAGAGCCCAAACTCACGGACAATTAGGTATGTTCTTAAAAGTGAACACAGATATTTGTGGGCAAGTAAAGGGCAGAAATAGTCAGAGCCATGTTTTTAAACATGCACACCTGTAGAATTAGAGCCTGCCTTAAAGACCTCCCCCACCTGGATTTGAGATACGCTAATTGATCCATGCAAATGAGCCTGCACCATGAAACTATTTATTTCACTTTCCAGGTAACACAGCTATCAAGTGCAACTTTAAAATGAACTTTCCCAAGTTTTAAAGTCAGTATTAAAACATTTCCCAGCTCCAGGTGGAGGCCATTCTTGAACAGTCACAGGTTCTATGGGGATAAGTCTGCACAGGCACTTCAAAATAATCACCCCCTGTAAGGGATTCCTGCCTGAGCTGTGCAGAGGTTGTAACTTGTTTTATTAATACTCTAAACTGTCACTTCACTTGTATTTTTTATTTCTAAACTGTTTTTCAACCACATATACAAGGGCCTCAGGGCAAGCCCCTCTCTTGGAGGCATGCAAACTTTGCTAGAATCACCAAGGCTTATGCAGGAGTATCTTCAAAGGCAGATTTGGGACCTATAACTTTAATTCACCCACCAAATGGAGCTTCAAAATCCATTAAGGAAAAATAACTAGTAACCATCTGTCTTTATTCATCAGGCTGAAAGCAGTTAATCAAACCTAGTGGACATTTTTACTTTCTTCTTTCTCTCTCAACAGCTTTGAACACAGATGCAGCCTTTCCATAATTAAGCTGAGCATAGTAGCTCCTAGACAGATTAATTCTGGAGAGCTTGTCAAAATGTCAGATGGCAGACAAGTTCCGTCCCTGAGATTTCGGGAATTTTTAGATGTATCTATATTTTTAAATATACATGTATGGGCAGATTCAGGACACAATTATTAAAATTAACAGCTTTTTATAGCCCTTAA